CATATTTATTAAAATTTGATTATTTATTTAAAATTAAATTATTTTTAAATTTAAATTACAATTTTTATTTGCATATTTTTTTGATATAAATATATAAAATATTAATATTTTATTTTTATAGTTACATTGAATTCTTAATATGATATATATACTTTATATCGAATTCCTTTATTTTTTTACAATAAATGAATTTTTAAAATCAATATGATAAGTTTCTGTTTTGTATAATATTTAATATTAAAAATATATTAATTATTTTTTTATATATTTTAGTTTTTCATTATTCGCAAATATTAAAGAAAATAATTAATATATTAAATGAAAATATTAAAAGATATTAAAAATAACTAATATATGAATTTATATATATTACAAAAAAATTAAATAAAAAATATTGATTTTAAAAGTGTCCTCGTAAATTTTTAATATTGCTAGTTTTGATATTTAAGGCGAAATTTTATTGAAATTATTTTTATTGTACTTATTTTCAAACTAATATATAATACATATAATAATTATATTTAAATATATTAATTTATAGAAGTTAATTTTAAATATGCATTATAAGAAAAAAATATTTTTAAAAATAATATAATTTAAATATAAAAAAAATTAAATAGATTTTACAGCAGGTTATATTAATAAAAAAATAATAAATAGTAATAATTAAAATTAATTGTTTTTACATTAAGAATATAATAAAATTATATAATAATTATGGGTTATAATAAAACAATAAAGATAATAAAACATTAAAAGAAAATATATAAAATATGAAAATATAAGAAAGAAAATTAGAAAAAGCGAAATATAATTAGATTTTTTTTAAAAAAAATATCAGAATATAATTTTTTTTAAAAAAAAAAGAAATAATTAATATTATAAATATATTATGTAAATATAATATATCTATATATATATATATAATTTTATACTTAATTTTATATATTTATATTTATATATTATTATTTTTTTTATCTTTTTTTTTACATTTATTACATATTAATTTTAATTTTATATTTTTTGATTAGATTTTTATAAAAAAATATATATATAATAGAAATAAAATATTATTCTTAATTTATATCTATATATATATATATTTTAATAATTTTATGATTTATTTATGACTATAAAAAAATTAATTTTAGTTTTAATTAATATTATTATATTTTTTTTTAATAATTTATTTTAAATAAATTATTTTAATATTTTTTTTTTTATTTTTAATATATTATTAAATAATTTAAAAAATGATTTTTTTTTTTATATTATTTTATAAATATTTATACTATGAATTTTATTAAGCCAGCGTAGCTCAGTTGGTTAGAGCGCGAGTCTCATAATCTCGAGGCCGAGGGTTCAATCCCCTCCGCCGGCATTTTTTTTTATTGTAAATATTTAATTTTTACTACTATTTTTATTTATTTTACTATTATTTTGTTTTTATTTTTTTATTGTCTTTTTTAAATATAATAGAGATTTTATAATAATTATTAATAATTTTTTTTAATATGATAAAAAATAATATTTATTAAAAAATATTAATATTTTATTTTAATACAAAATTAATTTTTATTTTTCTATATATATGAATATTCAATAATCAATAAATAAAAATAAATTTTTTAAATATTGAATAATATATATATAGTAATCTTTTATAAAATTCAATAAATATTAAATTATTTAATAAATATTTTTTTTTTTATTAAATATTTTCAAAATATTTATATTTTTTAAATAAAATAAATAATCATTTCATTGCATATTTAATAGTTGGCATTATAACATCACAAGGTTCATCTGAAATAGTTTCTGCACAGATTTCTAATTCTAAGAATTTTTTATAATCTGGTATTTTAATGCCTCCAATTTTCACCACAGCCTCAGTGACATCCATTTTTAATCTAATTAAAAAAAAAATATAATAAAAACCAAAAAAAATACCTTTAAGCAGAATCTGATTAATAAGAATTATAAAGGCAAACTTTCCCCACGCTCATAATTGAAATTTCTACCTAATATTTTTCATTGAAATATTTTTTCAACTAATCTATAGTCATAGGTCCTTTAACAAAAAGTTTATCCCAAGTAGTAAATCCAGGAGGAATAGCCTTAACCTTTCCCATTAAAATAGGATCATATTCTTTATCTTTAGCCTTAATAGGTGGATCAGGTTCTGAGAAAATCCATAAAGGCAAAGCTAGATTCATAAACGCATTTTTCATTTTATTTAAAGGTTTTTACAATATATGTTTAATAATCTCAATACCTACAGCCCCAACAATCATCGCTGTAGTCGTCGCGAGTGCGGGTATAATTTTTCCTGCAATAATTTTAACTTTAAATTTGGATATTTCTTTAATTTTATAATTTCTGGCTCTTAAATTAGATACAGCAGAAACTTAGTCTATATGCCAATTTGTCGGGTCATCTTTTTCGAATTCAATTGTATTCATATGATTTTTCGCCACAATTTTAGTATTAGAAAGTTCTTTTAATAATTAATCAATTACCTGCTCATCTTCATCACTTCTATTTTCTTATTATTGATTATTTTACCCTTTATCATCTAACTTTATAGTAATTTTTTTGGTTTGAATTCCTCCAACTTCACCACTTAGCTAATTTTCCTTATATAATCTTTATCTTCGCAATATTTCAACCCGAAAATATGAGCATAAATATTAGCTGTAGCCTACACAAACATAAAATGAGTTTCATCATTTATATCAAAAACTGCTGGTTAAGGAGGTCTCTTCGGTCCAGACCAAAACGGTTATCCCGACTCAGTTTTATGGTCCAAAGGGAATGAATATAATAATTATTAGATTTAATTATGGAAAATTTCCTAAAACATATGCATAGCTAATTCAACACAACTTTCATAAGAATTTTAATTATAAGCCTAAACTAATTTTTGAATAATTTCAAGTTTTCCTCTTAACATACCAGGTTTATTTTTTAACTCCTTAGTAATTTTTTCCAAATAACCTTTCTAATTTTCCACAAACTTCGCACAATCATTAGGCCCTTCAACAAAAACTCCCTCAAAATAATCCCTAGCCCACTATATAGTATGTTCAATTTAATAAGGGAAGTTCTTTAAAGTACATAAAGGTATAGATTCCTCTGGAGGATCAACTGAATCTCCATAAGACTAAGTTAATCTTGGCAAAACAACCTAAGAATTACACTTTGTACCTAATGTACCACTTTCAAAAAGTGGTCTTCCATACCATACACATCTTCCGTCTACAAAAAGTCTCGCTTTTACATTATCTACTGCGTTTACAATAAAATCAAGGCTTTCCCAGAATTAATCATTGAAAATTCTCTCGTTTTCCGGTGCAACTCTTTCCTTTAAAGCTTTTACGTTCAAACTCGGGTTCATTTTTTTAGCCGCATTTCCTGCACATTCAGACTTAGATTATCCTATATTATCTTTTCTGAATAAAAATTACCTATTTAAGTTCGACATCTCGATCTAATCGTCATCAGTTACTGTAATTCCTCCATTCTCAACACCTAAACCCATTAAAGCGAACATCTTTAAATACTCACAGCCTAAAGCGCCTGCTCCGACTAAAAAAGTTTTCGCTTAAGCAATCTTTTGGAAATAATCTCTTCCAAAAATACTCACATAATCATCATATTAGGAATTCAAAGGGCTCCTATTTACATTCTAATCCTCTGGGAGAGCCTCAAAGCATTCATAATGTAACCATTGTCTTAAAGGAGTATATTTTCCTGTAAACTTAACAATTTCTTAAGCTACAATACCTCCCCAGAAACTTGCCAAAGGTGAAATTTAAGCTCTAGAATATAAAGCGACATTTTTAATTAAACTTTCCTCTATTTCTTCTACTCTTAAGACTTATTCGACATCCATTTACTTATTCTTATCATTAGAATCTTTTACAATCTAGAATAATTTCTAGGCATCATTTTCGCTATTTAATTAAGGTAAATTTCCAGTCTATTTAAAAAACTCTAATAAGCCCACAAAAGCTAAATGTAATTATTCCGGTCTTCCAAATTTTTCCCAATCACAATTATCTAATTCATTCTTATTTAGGGCATATGGGTGTTATAGGGAATCTTTTAAACTCTTAAATTACATAGTGACAGGCATTTTTACTTACTCTACAATCCCTTCCCTTATATATCTAGAGAACTAAGTAACATCTTTATCGGTTATTAATTTAAAAGTAAAAGGTGATCTTTCTTCTATTTTGAAAACTTAATCATTTAACTCAATCATTCCTTATACTTCCCTAAAAGTTACATAATCTCCAGTCTAAAAGCCGTGTCTTTTATCTTCATGTACAGTCACTATACAATCATTATTATCAGTAGTTACTCCCACTACTATTGAATTTCGTGGTTCCTCTCCATTAGTATCGAAAATATTATGTTTTTCCCCGAAATCGACAAATGTGAAACCGTATAAACCTAACATTCCAGAATATATAAAACCTTTTTGATTTTATCTGCAATATTCATTTATTTCAATAAGTCTGTCTTATCTATATTCGTCTGTAATTACTACTACATCGAAATTGTTTAATAATTCAGGAGTTATTTATCCTTTATGAACATATACTTTACAATAAGGATTCAATTCAGTTAAATTAGATAAACATGCCTCAGCTCGTGTTTATTAACCTATGTGATTCTTTTATAAGTAAAAATTACAGCTCATATCGGTTAATTAAGATAAACCATCATCATGTAGACATACTACTGAAGGTCCACTTAGGATTAGATTTTTTGCAATTTCAATACCGACCTATATTTTTAATTTTATTTTTTAAGCTTTTTTTTTTTTACTCCACGAAGTCCGGATATGAAAATACGAAGCTTTACTAATTTTCCAACTGCTTCGACTCCATACGCGCCCATCATTCTTGAATAAAGATTTTCATCTATTTTTCCTTGTTCATCCATTTTATTTATTTTGTTAAGTATATATATTTTTTTTTTTTTTTTTTTTAATGTTTAAATGATATATTTTATGAATCGGATCTGATAAATAAGAAATATATACTAATATAATTTTCTATATATAAAAAGAATTTATTAATTTTATAAGGCTATACTTTTTATATATTTTAAAATAAAAAGATATATAAAATACTAAAAATTAAACGAAGTTTATATACATTATATATATAAAATTATTTTTATATATTTTTTTCTCTTAATTTAATAATTTATATATAATATATTTATTTTAATTACATTCATAATTTATTTACCATTAATTTTGTTAAAATAAATAATTATCTATTTTTTTTATTTTTTATTTTTATTTTTATAAATATATTCAATACCTAATTATTTACCATATGTTTTAATATAGGTATATGTTATATTATTCATTTTTAAAGATATATGTATTTTTTTTTTTATAATTTACTTTTTGACGTTTTAACAAAACTAATAATATAAAAAATATAAAACGATAAAATAAAAACAAAACATATAATATTCAATTCTAAAAAAATAAAAAAGCAAAAAAGCAAAAAAGTAATTAAGCAAAAATAAATAAATAGTCAAAATGTAAAATTCATTATAAGACAATAAAGCTAGAAGTAAAAAAAAAAAACTTCTAAATATATAAAAAAAAAAAATTACTGACTTTTATACTAAAAAAAAAGAAAGGAAAAAAAAAAAATACAATAAATATTTATTTTTATTTTTTCTAAATTTAAAAATAAAAAAAGAAACATATACAGATGCTCAGTATCAAGCAGTAGTATAAAAGTATGCAAACTCTAGAAGTACATATTCTGCTGCAAATAGTGCAGTTATAAATAATACTTATTAGTATTAAACTCCTCCTTAGAACATGTATAATACAGTATCTTATACAAACAATGGATTAAATGCAAGCTAAAATATATTATCATAATATAATAATACTAATATTTTAAATAATAATAATGATTTAAAAACATTTAAAACATTAAATTAATAAAATATAATTATAAAAGATGTTCCTAGCCCAAATATTTACGAAGTTGATTAAATCAAAAAATCTGTAAGAAATATGTCTGTTAAAAATGTGGCTTTTTTAGATTATACAGCACCTTAGTATTAATAATAAGAATTCAAAAGTTAAAACTATTCTATTAAAAAATCGATAAAAAATGTATAATATGAAGATAATGACGCACTTATATAATCAAAAAATATCGCTATTATAGATCCTGATACTTAATTGATGGAATATTCTTTAAGAAAAAGTATTGTAACTGAAAAAGATATAATAAATCCAGAAATTGAAATTGAAACAATCAAAGATGGTGATTACTATATGTGTAATATTTTTTGAAAATAAAAAAAATTAATAAATAAATGGAAATTTTTTTTTTTTTTTTTAAAAAAAAAAAAAATATAAATAATTTATTAAGTTTTTTGTTTTTTATTAAATAAAATTTAAATTTATTAATTTACATTTTAATTTAGATTAATAATGTTATTTTTAAATTTATTTTATTTGTTTATATTATATTATAAATGAAAGAAAAAAAAATTCAATTAAAAAATAAATTAAAAAAGATAATTTTTATTTTTTTTTGAAAAATAATTAAAATTTGTTTTTATTTATTTGTAAAATAAAATAATTCTGTTTTTATTTATTAATTCTTCTTTTTTATATATAAATATATATTAAATTCTTATTATATTAATTTTTAGAAAAAAAAAATTAAATTAATAAAATAGTAATTAATATCTTAAATAAATGAGAAATAATATTGATAATGCATCAAATATTAAAAAAGAAAATTTATGGAATAATATATTGACAGAAGCAGGATAAAAAAGCAGATTTTAAAATAAAAATGTAATAGTTTTGGGTACAAAAAATGCAGGAAAAAGAACTTTATTAGATTCGATTCACGATATTTCTTCCTCAACATTTCCTAAAACAAGTAAATATAATAAAAATGTTAAAAAATAATTTATTATTAAATAAATTTTAAGGAAACAATGATATACAAAGCGGTAAATTAAGAATCTCTGCATCAGCAGCTGCAATGGAATATATATATTTAAATGTTAAAAATATAGATGATTTAGATGATGGTAATAATTTAATAACATCTTATTATTATTATTTTTTTTAAATGCAAAAAAAATAAAAACCAAAACATATAAATGAAAATAAAATAAAAAATTATTTTAAAAAAAAGAAACTATGGCTAAATTAAATTTTTATGTAATTGATAATTATGATAAAATGTAAATTATTTTAATATAATAATTGTATTTTGATAAAAAAAAAGAGATTTAATATAATTAGTTTTAAACTAAAATCAATTAAAAGATACTTCAATTGTTATTATAACGGATTTATCTTAAGTAATTTTAAATTTAATTAAAATTATAATAATAATAATATAATAATATTATTTTATATATATTTTTTAAAAAGCCATGGAATATAATGGAAGAATTAGATTTATGGATTAATTCAATTAATAAATTATTATAATCATTAAATATTAGTTTAGATACACTTGATTAAATGAAAGATAAAGTAGAAAAATAAGTAAGAAATTATAAAGAACCTGTTTTTGATAAAAATGGTAAACTAGTAGTTGACGAAGGATAAAAAGCTTCTAATTACTAAGATAAGCAAAACATAAAAGTAATTATTTATATAATTTATTATTATTAATTTAAAATAACAATGTAAATTTTTTAAATTCTAAATTATGATTTATTATTGATTTATAAATTTATTATATATATATATTTATTTTTTAGGATAAACTTCCTTTACCTGAAGGTGTTTTGAAAATAAATATAGGAATACCTATTACTGTTGTTTGTAGTAAAGTAATAAAAAAACTATTTATAATTTTTTTTTTTTTTAATAAATAAAATATTTAAAAAATAAATAAAAAATTAATAAAAAATCCATTAAAAAAGTCTGATTCTTTCCAAGAAACAAATATAGAATTATCTGATTTTATTTAATATTCATTAAGAAATTTTTGCATTACTTGTATTTTTTTATAAATAGAAAATATATATTTATATAATAAAAAATAAAAAAGACGGGGCTTCATTAATATATACTTCTTGTAAAACAAAAGATAATTTAGATATTTTTTATGAATATATTCTACATATTTTATATGGTTTTAAGCTTAAGTATAAAGCTGAAATAGTAAACTAAGAATGTATTTTTATTCCTATAGGATTTGATAATTATGAAATATTAAAGTAAAAAAGAAATACTTATAAACAAAAAATTATTAATTAAAAAAAATAAAAAAAGATAAAGTTATTCAAAATTTGTTGAATAAAATAAAAAATATGAAGAAGTAATATTAAAACCATAATCAAAAAATCTCAAAAGAGAAGAAACTACATGTGAAGATGACTAAGAATTTTTGAGGGGACTTTTGGATAAAAATAATGCTGGAACAGATAATAGTTTGACATAAATTCCTAGTTTGTCAAAACTATAAACTTAAACAAATCCAAATGCTAGTCAAATTAATGCAGGAAGCATTTAACAATTAAATTAACATTTGTAAAATCCTTAAGTAAAAGCTAATAAAGTAGAAAACTTTTATATAGAATTATTAAAGAAGCCTGCATAGAATACAAATAAAACTAGTGTAGATGTATTAATTTTCTAATTGCATATATATAAACAAATATAAAAAAATAAATATATAAAAATCTATATATATATAAAAATATATATAATTATATATATGTATATATGTATATATTTATATATATTTTTATATATATGTAAATATTTATTTATTATTTTTTATTATATTTTTTATAAATAAAAAAAATTATAAGTAAAATGTTTTAAGAAAATAAGTAGAAAAACAATTACTTGAAAAAATAGGAAGTAGTAGTAATAATAATAATAGTAATTTAAGCAAAAGTAATTTAATGGGAGATTTAAGTTAAGTAAAGGATATTATAAATAAGAAGAAATGAGAGTTTACTTATATTAAAGATTATTTATTCTCTTTTTTATTTTATTTGCACACCATATTATAATAAATTTTCATAATTGTTTACTTTTTTTAAAAAATAATAAATAAAAAAATAAATATATAAATATATATATTTATATATACTTATATATTTAATTTATTTTTTATATTTATATTTTTCTTAATACATTTAATTTATTTAAGATATTTATATATTATATTTTAATATATTTATTTTAATTTTATACTTATTTATTTTTTATAAATTTTTTATAGTATTTATTGTTAATTTTTTTATAATAAATATTACATTAAAAATAATATTATCTTAATTTAAAATTTTTTTTTTATATATAATTATCTAAAAATGATAAAACAATTTATTTTGAAAATATAATATAAAAATAGTAAAAAAAAATATTTTTCTATAGTTAATCATTTTACAAATGTAAAAACACGATTTTATCGTTTATTAAGCTTTTTTAATAAAGGCTTATTAAATTAATAATCAGAAAGTAAAAAAGCGAATGTTAATGTTTTTTAAGGATTGATATATTTTTAATTTGATTTACTAAGTAGTTTATTTATTATATTGATATAATTAATATTTTTCCTTTCGATAGTAAATTGTAGATGAAGTATTAGGTCGAAATTAATTAATTTAAATAATAAAATATTAAATATTAAATATTAAAATCTGGTGTTTCTATTCTTTTTCAGACTTCAAAAATAAAAAATGAAATTTCTATAGAGTAGTGAATTTTAGTACTACATTGATTTATGTTTAACAAATTAAATCAAATTGATTAATTTATATTAATACTGGTGAATATATTGATAAAAATGTGGTGATTATTTCTTTACAGTATAAAACTTAGGATTTTTACTAAATAATAATTACTAAACACTTGATTTGATAAATAAAAAAAATGAATATTCCTATAATATAGTTTTAGAAACAGACCATATCCATTAAATAAATTAAAATAATAAAATTAATATTTAGATTGCCCATTATAGTGAAAATAATGCTTTGATAATATTAAATGTATATTAAAAAATATATATTTAAGCTGTATTCGGATAGATAAGTGTTAGAAATAACCGAATTTAATAAGGATAAAGTGGCAAATATAAATCAGGATTTACTATAGTATAAACTTTTTTTGTTACTTTTATTTATTTTGCTAATTTCGTTGGTGTCGGATCCTTCTTATAAAAAAAGTATATATTATTTTTTAGTATAGTTTTTTTAATTTTTAGTGTATTTTTTTTAAAAAAAATTCAGTTTTAAAAAAGGCCTTACTTAATCCATTTGTTTTGTTCGTACCTTTTATTTGCTAATTGAGTTTATTTGTTTTTTTAATAATAATGATAAAAAAACTTATTATAGATATTAAAATAATAGGTAAATTTTTATTAAACAATTAAGATCATAAATATAATAATATTAATTAATAATTTTAAATAAAAAATGAAACATGAATGTAAATAAATGATTATAAAGTAATTATGATGATTAATTCATTTTATAATATATTTATAAAAAATTAATTAGAATTTTAACATTATATAAATTGGTTACAATTTTTATTTTTATTAAATAATTTATTTTTGTTAATGTTATTATTTTAATATTTATGAAAAAACTTAATTAATAAATTTTAATTTATATATGAATTATATAAGATAAAAATAATAATTTTAATTTATATAATATATTTTTAATAAAAATAAAATATAAATATTAATACTAAAAATGAGATTGATTGCACATAATTTATTATAATGTAATAAAAAGGATTGTACGATAAATAATTATCCTTTAAAAATATTTGTAATAGAATCAAAGCTTATCGAATCCGAAATTAATAAACAATTAATTTAAATAATTGTTTAAAAATTAAATTGGCAAGCTTTTAGTTAAACAGTCAACTAAGTAAAACATAATAATAAAAAATATTTACCATAAATAAATAATTAGTTATAAGAAAACGATAACTTTCCAAATAAATTCGATGAAAAAATGCTTTAAGATAAAGAGTCATTAAAAGATTTACATAGAATACTTATTGAAGTAATAAATTTTATATTAATCGAGATTTAATATTTATTTTTTGTTAAAAAAAATAAACAAAAAAAAATAGTTCAATATAATTAAAGGAAAATTAATATGCTAAAATTGTGGATAAGAATATCCTATTGAAAACGGAATACCAAATATGATATTATATGATAAAAATTGAAAATATAAAAATATTAATCAAAAATTAAATATGTAAATAAAAATAAAATAAAAAATAAATAGTAAATCAAATAAAGACAATAAAATATAATAAATTTATTATTAAAATGAATAAAATATATTTTTAAAATTCATAATAAAATTAACATATATATTATTATTCTTTTTTAAAAAAAATATGATAAATATTAAAGATAATTTATTGTTGTTTTGTTTAATACATATATATATATATATATATATATACTTAATTTATGTTAATCAATTTAAACTTTTAAATGCGTCAGTTTTATCTTAATTATTATTTTCTTCAATAATTTTAGATTAACTAATAGCATTTTAATCTTCATCTTAATTACTTTAATTTGTTTAATTAAAATATATAAATTTTCCATTTTATGTATTACTTAGAAATATTTTATCTGATTATTCTAGACTATTTTTTTTTGTTTTTTCCTTTGCGGTAGACTTATTATTTTCGCAGTTTTAAAAAAAGATAATATTTTATTTATTGTCTTAATTAAGAATAGAATTATTATTAGTATTATTGGTTTAAATTTTCATATTTTATATTATTTATTTTTTTAGCAAAACTACAAGAAATAAACTTGTTAATATTGTTAAACTTTGCAATAAACTAAAAATCGTTCCATAAAATAAAAATTATTTTTCAATTAAAATCTTCTTTATTTTAGATTAATCAAAAGTAAGAAAATAAATACAAAATGTTATACATGTAATTGGTTATATTATAGATCTAAATTTACATATAATTATAATATAACATTATAAAATATTTTATTTTTTACATTGTAATATATATATATAATAGCTTTTTTTTGTTGTAAAATATTATGTAAAAGTTGAATAATCCTATTAATATTCCTGTAAATGCCTTATTTTTATATTTTTTAAATATAAGTAAAAAAAAATGATAATATATAATTTAAAAAAAACACCTTTTTTAAAAAATAAAAAATTTACTTATGCTGCTGACAAAATGAAATACATAAAATTTTTAATATTAGATAATAGAAAAACAAATAAAATTAAAAAAGAAATTATTATTATTAGAAAGCTTATTAAATAACTTAATCTTTTATATTTATTAGTTTAAATGTTTTATATTAATGGACTTTCCATCTTTTTTATTATTATGTTTAAATAGATTTTTATTTCATAAACAAAATAATTATGGTAAATAAAAAAATAAATAAAATAAAAATAAAGAATAATATATATTATATAATTAAATATGTACATTATTTTAAAATATTTATATTATCAAAAAAAAATGTATTATAAATTAAAAAATAATAATAAAAAATTTTAATATGGCAAATAAAAATATTTAAATAAAATTTGATTTAAATTTAAAAAAAAACAAATGATTAGTATTAATCAATAAAGAAAAAATATTTTTTTTTATAAAAATATAAATCTTAGTAAATAAAATTTTATTAAATTATTGAAAAAAGGAAAAAAAGAAAATCAATTTAACTCAAAATTATTATTATTATCTTTTTATTAAAATATAGTTTTTGAAATAACTGTAAAACATCTTTTTTTACTAAAATTATTATCTTTTTATTATTTTTATTCTTTTATTTAATAAATGCATTTAATTTTCTTTTTTTATATTAAAATTATTTTTAAAAAAATAATATTTATATATAAAAATAAATACATTTCTACAAGTATGACAAGTTTGATTTTTTTTAAAAATATCAGTTGAACATTAATAACACATTCCTATATATTTAAAAATATTATTAGATTATAGGAATAATATTTATATACCTACATGTCCACATGGCATAAAAACACTATCTATGTTTCCATTTAGACAAATTATACATACTTTGCTTTCACTTGTATTACTTATGTTATCATTTTTTTAATACTCTTTTATATTTTTAGATTAAGATTAAAAATTAATAATGATATTTGATTTGTCTTCATTATTTTCAGTAACTGATTATTATTTTTAATTATAAGTATCAAATATATTTAGATTTTTTGAAATGCTTTTTATTAAATTATATTTATTTATATTATTGAATTATGTAATATCAACTTAGTTGCTTTTACTATTTTCATTTAATGTTTTATTCAATTTATTATAAATTGTATTTTCACTCAATCTTTCATTATATATTCTTTAACTTTTTGGCTATATTTAGTCAAATATTTTTTTATTTTGAAAATATAATATAGTTAAATATTAATTTTCATTAATTTATTTAAAATAATTCGAAGAAATTTAATGCTTTTTTAAAAAAATAAAAAAAAATATTTATTTTTCAAATATATCTAATATTTTTTATAATACTAAAAATATTTTTTTTTATTCAAAAAATATTATTTTAAATTTTATGAAGTATTCTAATTAATATTATTATTTTATTATTAACTAATTTAATTTATAAATTATTAGTTAACTAGTGTTTAAAGAACATTTAACTACTATATAGCTCTTTACTAATCAATTTAGTAATATCCTTCACTTATTAAATTAGTAAGAAATTTTCTTTAATATAATAAATATAAATAATATATTAATAAATATATATATATATTTACTTTAGTGAATTTCTTTAAAAATATGAATAAGCAAAAATAAATAAATGAGATAAAATTGTATAACTTAATCCAAATAATAAACTATTTTAAATATTTTCTTCATTTTTATTACCACTTAAAAAATTTAATAAATTAAATTGAGTTATTTAACTGTTAACAATTTATTAAATAATTAATAATAATATCCATAGAATACCTTTTACTTAAAATATTTTTATATATTTTTAAAAATATTTTTTTATTTTTTTACATTCTAATTTACTATATTCATTCTATTCACAAAGTTTACTAATAATAATAATCAAGATAAATATAGCTACTAATAATAATATACAATAACAAAACCAATAAGGCCAAAAGACAGTATTCCAATTCCATTAAAAATATTAATCAATCTATAATGATAAATTTGTCATTTAAATAATTATAAATATTCTAAAAACAATATCAGTCTATTTTTTTTTATTATTATTATTATTAAATTAATAAACAAATAAAAAATATTTCTCATTACAAAATTTGCTAAGGTAAAACAATCATTCTAAAGTTTTTAAATTTATTTAACACTCATAATTTAAAAAATTAAAGAAAGATTCATAAATATTAGCACATAAATCAAATTGATATTTTTATGAAATAGAATATATACTTATACATATAAAACACTGCAAATATAAAAAAAGGTTTCAATTAATTTATATTCTTTTTTGATAATATTTTATCTTAATTTTTTTTATTTTTATATAAACAAAAATATAAAAAAATTACTTAAATCTTAAAGTTTATACATCATCAAAAATTTTTTTAATTATTATATAAGCAAAAATAAAATAAATATTTAATTATTAAATTTTTAAATAGCATAATAATAAACAATAAAATAAAATTAAATTAATTTAGAAAATAAAAATGCTCTTAATAACATAACTTAATGTATTTTTATATATTTTTTCATTTTCTAATTATTAATAATTACGATTTAATTGTTATTATTATTAAATAAAATTTAATTCACATAAAATATTATTATTATTAACATTATTATTATTTTAAATTATTTGCATTCCATTTATTATTGATTCTAATCGATTTCTATTATTAGGATCTTCTACTTATTCAGTATTAGAATAAAATAAATTATTTCTGTTTTAGTTATTGTATGTTTAATTATTAATAGCTGTTGTTGTATTATAGTCTTTTATTTTTAATAAATAAAGTTAGACAATTAAAAAGTTAATATATTATTACTAATTGAATTCATAGTATTTTTTATTAAAAAAAAATATAATTAATATTAAAAAAAAAATAATAATTGATATAATAAATATATATATATATATATATATTTATAAAACAGATAAAAAAAAAATTAATAAAAAATATAAGATATAGAAGATTTATTAGTAAAAATATAAATAAATTATATAATATATTAAAAATTAAAATATAAATAAAATTGTATGATAAATCATATTAAATAAAATCAATTATTTTTATAATAGAAAAAATGATATTAAATACGTATTATAAAATTATAAAAAATCTAAAAAATAATATAAAACTTAAAAATCATAATTTTTAAGATTCTTATAAAAATTTATAAAATAAATAAATAAATAAAAACGAATATATGATATTTAATCATCTAAAATTATACTAAATTTATTATTAATATTAATATGATTAATATAATTATTATTATTATTAATTATTTTATTATTATTGTTTTATTATTATTATTATTATTAATATTATTATTATTATTAATATTATATAATTTATTTCTAATTTTAATTATATATAAATTAATATTTTTTTATATTTTAAGATTTTTTAGATAATAATTATGAATTATTATCTATTGAAATTTATTATTTAATTTTTTATGATTATGAAAGTTTTATTTTCTAATTTAATTATTATTTTTTCGATTATTTACTTTATTAATTTTATAGTACTCTACTTGAATAATAATTTAATTTTACTTATTATGGACTATTGTTTATATTTACTGAATTTCTGTTTAATAAATTTTATTCTGTATTATTTATACTTTAACTTCTTATTTATTAATTTTAATTTTATTAATTTGATTGTTAAAGAGTTATATATTATTATGTTCTTACATTTTATTTAGGTTATTACATGAAATTTTCAATTATATATTACCTTTTTTTGCTTATATTTTCAGGAAAATATTCATTTTATTATTCTTCATATGTATATTTTTAACTTTGAATATATTTAAATTTATCTTTATATTATAAAATTTTATTCTATGAATTTACTATTATTTCTGATTTATCGTTAAATATTACTTAAATATCTTGATTACTAAATTAAAAAAACACTGCTTAACTATTTTATTAGTATTTTTGTAAATAGATATCAATATATTTAATATTTTGATTCTTTTTTTATTATATAAGTTGTATAATATATGCATTTATTTTATATTTTATTTTACATTTAAGTTTTAATGTTTATTTAAAAAATGTTTCTAAATAGATAGAATTTATTTAAAAATATTTTAAATATTTTAAGGAATATTATTAAAATCATATTACTTATTAACAAACATATTATTAATATTTTAAATATGATAAAATTAACTAATATAAAAAAAAACTACAATAAAATTTTTTACTTTAATATATTGATTTACTTATTAGAAATATAAAAAACATTCCCATCATTTAAAACAAATCCTAAATTTCCATTATTAAGTAAATACCCTAATCCTTATTTATTATCACAAAACACATAATCTTGTAAATATATAAAAGAATTATCAATAATCTATATATTATTATTTTCATTTTTCTAAGTATTATGTAATAATTAATCTGTATCATGAAAAGTATGATTTTTTTTCAACAAGCTCAGGCTTTATTATTTTACACTTTTAGCCGAACTATTGTCTAATTTAATATTCACTTATTTAGTTTTCTATGTTTAGAAGTAATTATTTATTTACTTCTAATTTTACATATTATCTTAACTTTTTATTCTTAATATCTATTATAATTGTTATTTACATGTTTATTCTTCTTTTATATTATTCGCAAAATTATTATTTATACTTTAGTAAAGATTTTAATTTAATTATTAATTTACTTTTGTTAACATTTTTAAACTTTAATAGTTCATTTCTATTTTATTTTTTATATATATATTATTTTCATTCTATTATTATTTTTAATCAAAAAAACTATAATTCCTTAATTTTTGTAGATAATTTTAAGAAGGAACTTCTGTTAAAGTGCTTTCTGGTAAAACTTTAGGTATAGTAAATTCCCCGTTTTTCAAAAATTCATGTTATAACATTTCATCTAAAGAAAGTCTGTTTTCAGGAGTTTAAACAAGTATTTTTTAGATAAAATTTTAGGCTTATTTTGATATATTTATGTTATCCTTTATATTTTAATACAATTTTTCTAATATTTTATTATTTATTTTTACTGGAATTTAATAACGGCCTGCTTTTACGTTTGATAATGTGTTTTCTACTTCTTTTTCTTCAAAAGGAGGTGTTCCTATTAAAAATGTATACGCTATGATACCCACAGCCCAATTATCTACTAAATAATTATGCCCTACATTTTTTAAAACTTCAGGAGCAATATAATTAGGTGTTCCACAAATAGTTCTTTTAATATTTAAAAAAATATATATCTATTTATATTATTTATATAAAAGTAAAAAAAAACTTTCTTTTATGAAATGAAGATATTATTTTTCCACTTAAACCGAAATCAGCTATTTTAGCAACCATTTTATCATTAAGAAAAATATTTTCTATTTTTAAGCTTTTTTTAAATAATGATATTTTATATATTTAAATTATATATTTTTATATATATATATATACTCTCTATGTATAATTCCTTAAGAATGAATATATTTTAAAGAGTTAATAATTTATATTAAATGGCTTTTTACTTCTATTTCTGTAAGTTTATTTCTTCTTTCCATTAATTATTTGAAAGTCTTAATATTATATATATATATATTAAAATAAAAAATATTTTTTTAACTTAGTTGCTACAGTATTCAAGTACAATATAAACATTATGCTAATCTTCAAAAGAATTATAATATTTGACTACATTTTAATGATTTAAACTCGATTAAAATTTAATTTCTTATTTCAGCTTTATTTTTTATGGTATATTTTTATTTATTTATTTTATTTTTTCGTTTTGGTTTTTTTTATATTTACTTTTTCTTTAAAAGATTCCTTTTTTATAGAACTTTTATCTATTACTTTTATTGCATATTTTTCACCATTTTATATATCTTCTGCTAAATAAACTTTCGCAAATCCACCTTTACCAAGTTTTTGTAATATTCTATATGAATTTTATATTTATTATTATCCTTTATTTAATATCTTTTGATGGATTATTTTATTTTTTTATTCTTCTTAAGAAAACATAATATTTTTTTTTTAATTGTTTAAATATTTTATTTTTTTTAACGCTCAAAAAAAAAATTTTTGAATGTAAATTAATATTAAATTATACTAAAAAAAATAAAAATTAGTATATATATAAATAAATCAAAATTTATATATTAAAATATAAATCCAACAGAATTAATATATATCCCAACAAAATAAAATAAAAAAAAAAAAGAATAACAGTCAAAAACTAAAATTAATTAAAATAAAAAACTAAAGAATAAAAAAAAAAAAAAAAAAATGAGTGTAGCAAGTATAGAAACTTAAGAATTCCTTGCCTTTGAAGAGCATGTATTTGAAGAAATAGAACTCGAAAGCATGATTGTACTATAATTCAACCAAGAAACATTAAAGTAAAATTTTGTAGCATTAATAAAGATATTAAAAGACTTAAAATTAAGTGTCCGTAAAACAAACAAAAAACAAAAAGAAAATGAAAAATCTATTTAAGAATTATAAAATGAAAATAAAATTTTATAAGAAGATAATAAAATATTAAAAGAAGATATAAACTAAATAAAAAAAGAAAATACACAAATGAAATAAGAAATTGAATAAATAAAATAAAAAGATAAATAATAAGATATATAATTATAAGAATTAAAATAATAAAGTGAAAATTAAGATTAAGAAATAAAATGCTTACAAAAAGATAATTAGAAAAATAAAGATGACATTTAATATATTCTAGACGAATTAAAAAAACTAAAAAATGAAATTGAAAATGTAAAACTACTATTGCAACTTTCTACAGGAAAAACAGGAGACCTAGATGGTAAATATATAAATATAAATGAAAAAAATATACAAAATAATTTAAATTTTTTTAAAAATAAAAACAAAAAAAACGAAAAAAACAATATTATATTATGATTATAGTATAAAAAAATTAGAGATATATAAAAAAAAGAAAAAAATTATATGTATATAAATATATAAATATATAAATATTTAAATATATAAATATATAAATATATAAATATATTATATATATTTTTATAAATTATTATATATTTTTTATTTTATATTATGTATTAAAAATAATATTATTATCTAATTTTAATAAAATTATATATATTATGACATATATATATATATATATGTCTATAATTAATTAATATTTAAAAATATTTTTATTTTATTTTTTATATTATTATAAAATAATAATAATAATAATAATAATAATAATAATAATAATAATAATAATAATAATATAATATATAATAATTTTTTTATATAATTTTTAAAATATAGAAAATAGTTATTAACTAATAATAAAAGAAATATAAAAAATAAAAGAAGAATATGTAGAAATATACATATATATATATATATATATATATATATATATATATATATATAATATCTATTTATATATAAAGGTTACTTAAAAAGAATTCAAAGATTAAAATAATGAATTTAATTTAGAATTAAAAGAAATTAAATAATTAATTGAGAAATTAAAAAATCATTTTTCTGATATTTTATCATCTTTTTAAGAATTTTAAGAAAGACTAAAGAATTTAGAAAAATAAATGAAAAATAAAGTTGATATTGAATTTTTCGATTAATAAATTAATTATTTAAAATAACTTATTTAGTCTAATTTTGGTAATGGAAAAGAACTTATTCAGCCGTAAACTGTTTTTTAAGGTTTATCAGAAAATTAATTAAGTTTATTAAATGCTGTTAAAGATAAATTATCTGATTTGGAATTTTAAATTCGCGAATTGAGAAATTAATTAAAAGAATAAAATGATGAAATATAAAATTTGAAACAAAAATAAGAAAAATATTAATAAATAACCGACAATAGGTTAGACGATTTAGAATCATAAATTAAAAATTGCACGAAAAATTCACAATTTAAAAAGCTAGAAGAATAAGTAAATAAATTAAGGGAAGAATATGATAAGACAGCAAACTTAAGTATAATAAATGAAGAAAATATTTAATAATTAAGAAATATTATTGGAAATTTAGTAGACTAAATAAAAAGATAAGCCTCTTAATATACAAACTAAGGCTCAGGGGGTGTATCAGAGGAATTATTAAATTAAAAATTAAAAGAATTAAAGGATGAATTAATGAATTTAATAAAATAATTACAAGATTAAATGAAAGATAAAGTATCTTACGATGATTTATATAAATCTGAAAATTTACTATTGTAAAAATTAGATGATGTAGCACTTGCTTTTGTGAAAAAATTCGCTGATAAAGCGGATACAAAAAAAGCTTTATAATATCTAGAAAAAAAAATTAATGAATTATTTAAATTATTGAATAAAGAAAATAATGGAAAAGATAAAGAAGATGATGCCTTAGTTGCAAAAAGACCACTTTTATGGAGTTGTATTTCATGTGATAAAGGACTTGATGATTATTAGGGAAGATTAGGAGATTATAAATATTGGGTTTTTTTTTTTTTTTATTATGTATATATATTTTATTTAGAATGTATTTCCGCCAAAAGAAACTACTCCGGAAAGAATGGGAAAGGTTCCTTTTTTTATATATTTCTTTTTAATAAAAAAACTAAAATTTTTTTGGATTTTTTTTATAATATTTTAATTAATTTAATTTTTTAAACTTTTTTTTTTAATTTATTTTAGTTTGGTAAATAATATAGATATATGTAAGAAAAAAGTTAATAAAGAGATAAATTATTTGAATAATCTAAATAAAGTGGAATCCAATAAAGTGTAATTCAATAAAATTAACATATTCAAGGAGAATTTTTACCTTCAATAACTAAATGACAAAAAAAAATATATATATAATAAAATTTATCAATATAAATATATACATTATATATAAAAAAAACTAATTATAAATTAAAAAAAAATAAAATCATTCAATATAATTATTTCCATAAATAATTTCTAAAAATTTAATATAAATAGAACAGGAATATTATTTATAAATAAAAATATATTATTATTAAATAAAATTATAATAATTATTATAATTTTATTCTTTCTTATTCTTTATATTATAATCATTAAACGAATTTTTTATTAAATAACAAATATATCATTCTTCTTCATTCAATAAAAAAAAAGCTAATTGTCTTATATTTACTTTAATTTAAATTTAAATATCCAAATATTTCTACAAGTTTTTAAACATGAAAATTACATAATTTCATACAAAATTCCGGTTTGCATTAAACTCCTTTAATACTCAAAATAGTATTCATTTTTTATATTTTATTTATAAAGAAATTCAAAATCAATGACTTAAACTTTTTTATTATTATCTTCTTTTTTAAATTTTTTGAATTATTTATTTTTTTTATTTGCATATTATATTAAATATGTTGCTATGTTTCTTATATCTATATCATATTTCTTACTAATCGCAAACCTTTAATATTTCCGATAATTCATTTCGTATACACCAATAATTTTTAAAAAAATATCTATTACTAAATTAAATAATGTCAATTCTTAATATAACGCAAAAATCCCAATTTCTCATATATTATTTGTATAAAGAATCTCCTATATTTCTAGAAATTGCTAATTCGCAATTTATACTTTACCTATTTTCTTAAAATCACAGTCTCTTTTTAATTTTAAAGCTTCTATTTGTTTATATTTGAAATTTTATGAAGCTTTTTTACACTAAGGATTTGAATTATCTATTTATATGCAAAAATTTATTATCTCCTACAGTTTAGTATATAGAAATTTTATTGTTATATTAATATACTATATGTTATATACGCTCTCTACATTTTCCTTTATATATTTTTCTTATTTATTAATCGTTTTATTCAAAATACATATATTAAATTTAGTATTTATTTCTTTTAATAATTTGCATTATTAATTCCTTAAATAATATTGAAAATAGTAATCATTAAATTTAAATATATATTTATGTAAATTTTATTATAATATTTCTACTATTTTAAAAGTAATTTGTCAATCAAAAACAATAAAAATGCATCTACTCCAAATAAATGTAAATTATTTTGAATAAAATTAATATATATATATATATATATATATATATATATATATATATATATATATATATATATATATTAATTTGCTAAACCAAATTATATTTAAGAAAAATAAAAAAAATCCTGCTTTAAAATAGTATATACTATATTTTCTTAATATAATATATTATTTTATTTATAGAAAATCAAAGTACAATTTATAATTCTTAAAAAGAATCATAATTATGATTTTCTGGATTATTTTTAATGAATTTTTTAATTTTATTTTAGGATTATTTTGAATTATATTATACTAAATAATAATTTGATTTGTGTAAAATATTTTTAGTGCAGAGTTTATTTCTAATTATAAAAGAAGATTTTGACGCTTTCTTCAATCTAATGGAATAAACTTGTTGATTTTTTAAAAAATATAGCAAAAATTAAATATTAAAATAAGTTTAAATTTTATTATATTTTTTATTATTTTCTTGAAAATTTAAGTATTAATTTATGTATTTTATACTACTTTTTTAATTTAAGATTATTTACTATTTTATCGTTTTTTTTGTTTTATTTTTATATAATTTTTAAATATTTTTGTTAATGTTTATATGTTATTAATTTAAACAAATTTTATTCCAATAAATTTAAAAAAAATAATATTAATTGTAAATTGATAATAAAATAAATAAGCTAAAAAAACAAATAGATTTATATTGAAAAAAAAATACTTTATATAAACAAAGCATATGTATTTATTAATCTACAATTTACGAAAAAAAAAAAAAAAAAAAATTATATAATTAAAAAAAAAAATTAAAAAAAATTTAAATTTTCTAAATTATAAAAAAAAATATGCACAACAAAACTGGATTTTATTCAAACTAATAAAAAAATGATAAAAGTAATATTTTAAACTAAATATAAAAAAAAGAATAAAAAATTAAATAAAAAGTGCGAACAGAATATGCATCCTCCTAAAGAAAACAAAAAGAAAGTTTTTCATCCTCTTCTTTAACTCGTTAAGAGCAATCCTTTAAGTATTTTTTCTTTTTTTTTTATTTCTAAAATATACTTTAATAACTAAAAAATTAAATTAAAAAGATCATCTAAGCCTCCTAATTAATAAAAATCATTTGAAAAAAGGTCCTCAGTAACAAATTCCGTCAAGCTTTAATTTGATTAACAAAGTATACCTGTAGACTCGGATCTTTAACAAGAAAATAAATAATTTGAATAAAAATCGCAATAAAGCATTCCTGGAGTAATAGTTAAAAAAATTCCAAATTTATTAAGTCCACAACAATCTCTTTAATAAAAAAGTCCTTTGAAAACTTCAAATAATTGTAAAATAAATAAAAAAAATAAACCTAAATAAAATAAAATTAGAACTGAAAAAACTAGATTCAAATATTCTTACATAAAGTATCAATATGGTTACATTAGAAGAAAATTAAACTACCTTAGAAACATTAAAATAATTTGAACCAAAGTAGAAGCAAAGTAACATAAAAACATTTATTAGAGTGCGTCCTTTAAATAAAATGGAACTAGAATTTAACGAAAACGGTACAGGCAGCCAAAACATTAATTTCCCAGATAATAAATCTGTTTAAATAATGCCTGAAAAATCATTATATACTCTCGATAAAGTATATACACCGGAAACTCCATAAGTAATATATAATTATATATAAAAATATATGTATATATATATAAAAAGAAACAATTTATTTTTAAATAAAACACTATTTTTAATAAAATTATTATTTTTTTAAAATAATAAATAAACAATATATAAAATAATAAAATTAGTCTATAATATATGAAGAAGTAGGCCGAGAAATGATTAAAGATGTTCTCTAAGGTTATAATGGTACAATATTTGCATACGGCGCAACTGGTTCTGGTAAAACACACACAATGTTCGGTGATATCTAAAATCCAGAAAACCGTGGAATAATTCCTCGTGTTTCAAGTTAAATATTCGAATATATTAATACCCAAGAACAAGATATAGAATTCTTAATAACATGTAGTATGTTAGAAATATACAAAGAGTAATTATTTGATTTATTAAATGTAAAAAGAGTTGGTTTAAAAATAAAAGAAATGTCACAAAAAGGTGGTATATTTGTCCAAGGATTGACCAATATATCAGTTGAAAGTGAGGAAGATATTCTCGATTCAATAAATTTGGGATATTAAAGTAAATAAACGCGAGAAACCTGCATGAATGAATACTCTTCACGATCTCATACTATATTTACAATAAATGTGACCCAAAGATTATCCAATGGATAGGTTAAAACCGGAAAACTTAACCTTGTGGATCTTGCTGGAAGTGAAAAATTAGCTAAAACATAAGCCACAGGAGAAAGTTTAGAAGAAGCAAAAAAAATAAACCTTTCATTGAGTTGTTTAGGTAACGTAATTCATTCATTGACTACTTTCTAGGAACATATACCTTATAGAGATTCTAAATTAACGAGAATTTTGTAAGAAAGTCTTGGAGGTAATTTCAAAACGTCACTAATAGCGACTATTTCACCACATTCGAGTTCCCATGAAGAGTAAATTAGTACATTGAAATTTGCTACTAGGGCTAAAACTATAAAAAATAGAGTAAAAATGAATGTAACTTTGTCACATGAGTAAATGAAAAAGCTCATAGAATAACTTAAGAATGAATTGGAAAAAAGCTAAAGTTAAAATGCGAAATACAAATAAATTATTTAAAAATTAAAAGAGAGAAACAGTATTTTTTTTTAATAAATAAATAATATAAATATATATATATATTTATATATGTATATGTATTTAATTTTATTTTATTTTATAAATATATATTATTTATTTTTTTTTATAAATATATTAAATTTTTTTATATATTAAAAAGTTAAAACTATCGAAGACCTTATTCATATTGCAGAAAATGTGGAAAAATAAGTTGATAAAATAGATGAAAAAGATGTAAATGAAAATATTCTTTTAAATTTAAATAATAGATAAAATAATAATTCAGATAATGAAGATTCGGATTGTGAATAATATCATAATAATAATTCTAATATTAATGATTAAATTATAAGCATTTAAAATAAATAAAAGAATACAAACAATAAAAATGATAACGTTAAAAATATAGATTATAAATAATATTATCATGAAAAAGTTATGCAATGTAGAAACTAAGAAAGGGAACTTATGGAAAAGAAAAAAGAACTCCTTGAATCTGAAAGTAAATTAGCTTAAGTAAAAGAAGAAAAAAATTAATTAGAGTTTAAGTTTACTAAATAAATTACAAAAAATGATTATAATAAATTTGAAATTGAAATTTTATAAAAATAAGTTTAATCTTTAATTGATTCCATTTGTAAATAAGAAAATACTATTGGAACTTTGATGAAAGATAAATAATAACTATGTAAAAAACAAACAAACAAATAAAATATTTTTATATATAAAAAACCAAAAAAAATAGAATAGTCGAAAATAGATGACTATTTAACTTAAAAATTAAACTTTACAGAAATTCATTTTTCTGAATATTTCAAAAATAGTATTAACTTTAATTACGATGTAAATATATATATATTTAAGTATATATAATAAAAAATAATAGAATCTTGTTTAAAAATGGTCTGAAGTTTAAAAAAATATAAGGACAATAGAAGTTTAATTTCAAGATATTCCCAACTTAAAAACCTTATCAGAAAACTAAAAAACTTTTGACTAAGCCTAAGAAATGATTCGAGGTTCTTTTATAGGAAATTTAGACTTTAATACATTAAATAAGACTTCTGAAATGTTAGAAGAAATAGTCGAATTTCCAGGTTAATTAGAAAAACTTAACTAAAAACATCCTATATCAAGAGATGTTATGATAATATTATTAAAAAAACAAATATTTAAGTAAATTAAATTAAAATAAATAAATAAATAATAATAATTTAAAAGTTCTCATATTATTAATTAACATCTAACACGCACTATAAATGCATTAGAATGGAAATAAATAATCGAATATGGAAAAGCAAAAATGAATTCTGAATTAAATAAAATATAAGCAAAACATATTGGCAATTTAGAACAAGTAATAAACGAGTCTTCATAAAATTTCATTTAATTAAGAAGAAGAATTGAAGAAGTTGAATTGGAAACTTAATTTGTTAAAGAAAAACTAAATACATGTTATTCAGAAAAAAATCCTACCAAATCAAAAATTATTAAAGTATCTGATACCTTAACTAATCTACTTATGAGACCTTCAAGTAATTCAATAATAAAAAATTTAAGAAGTAGTTTTATTGGGTTATAATTAGATAATGAAATGCCAAGTGAAAATGATTTAATGAAATAATTAAAATTATGTATATTTTTTTTTTAATTTTTTTAATATTTATACCTATATAATTTTAACTTTTATTAATAAATTAAAAATATTATAATACATAATTATTAAATAGGTGAAGATTCAATTTAAAAAAATATGCTTCCTTTAACTTATGATAGAGCTATGGAAGAGCTAAAAAACAGAAATTAATTAATAAAGAAAATATATTAGGAATTAAATAATAATTATTATAATGGGGTCAATTAGGAATTCATTGAATAAATAATTAAAGAAAAAGAAAGATTAGAAACAAAAATAGTTTCTTTATAAAATGAATTAAAAATGTAAATGAGCAAATCAGAACATTATTTTGATGTAAATATAATATATTTTTTAATTTTTTAATAAAAATAAATAGGCTTACAAAGCTGAAAAATAAAACTTTATTTTACAAAAGGAATAAAGTAAAGCTTTAGAATAATTTTTAGTTAATAAAATGAAAGAAGAAAGTGAGGCCATAGAAAAAACTTATAAAAAAGTTACTGATTAACATGAATAAGAAATTCATAAATATTAATAAAGTTTTATAAAATTATCTGAAAGGTTTGAATATATTATCAAGCATTCTTTAAATAGGTATATTTAAAATAATTAATAAATATATAATTATATATATAAATAAAAGACTATAAGAAATGAAAAATAATAAATAAGTTATTAATCCATAAAACATAGAAAAAATGTATTAAGAATTATTAGTTGAAAAAGAAAATTTAAATAAAATTGTTTCTTTAGATAATATTTGTCAATAAGAAAAAAATAATTACAATTTTATTCCTAGTAGTATTGTTTTTAAATCTTTTGATACAGAAACTCATATAACAAGTATATAAGAAATATTAATGGATGAATAAATTAAGAAATAATAATAATAATAATAATAATAAAAATAATAACAATAAAAATAATAATAATATTAATATTAATATTAATATTAGTAATAATAATAATAATCATAATCATAATCATAATCATAATCATAATTATAATCATAATCATAATCATAATCATAATCATAATCATAATCATAATCATAATCATAAACATAAACATAAACATAATTATAATCATAATCATAATCATAATTATAAACATAAACATAAACATAAACACAAACATAAATATAGACTTAAACATAAAATACTACTATTGAAAATAATAATTAAAAACTTAACGGTATAAAATCTGAAATAAAAAATACAATAAATAATAACAATATAGATAAATAGTAAATAAATACTAGTAATAATTAAGGAATTTAAAATAACAATTAATAAAAAGATAAAAATAAATAGATTATGATTTGTACAAATAATAATATTAATATTAATAATAATAATAATCATAATCATAATTCAATAAATTTAAGTAATTCATAAACAAATATTT